GGGGGGGGGCAGACGTGGTCACAGGGGTAGGAGCTGCTTGGCATTCTCTGGCTCCTCTGCCCTCTCCCCCCACCTTATTCCCTGACCTCCTCTCTTCTCCACGATGCCCAGCCACCGCCCCCCCACCTCCCTGACCCAGGCTGGGCTGTCCCTGCTGGCTTCCAGGTACGGGACCCGCCTCCCCTTCTCTACCCATGGAGCTGCTCTGTCAAGAGTGAGGGGCACTCAAGAGCCGCCAGGCCCGAGCCCACAAGGCGGAAACCAGGGCTGCCACCCCTGCGTGTGGTTCACTCAGCCACATATGGCCTCTGCTTGCTCTCTTTATGTGTCAGTTGATTAAAGAAACAAGCTCAGCTCTGTGCCCTCTTCAGTCACCTCAAACCCCCCCCCTGCTTCCTGGATGCCGCCAGCCTGTGTCAGCGGCTCAAGAGGGTGAGTGGCACCCGCGTCCTGAGAGTGGGCCTGCCAGGGGCCTGGCGAGAGCTTCAGCAAAGGCCAGGCTAGGAAGCTGCCGGCCATCTGATGACCGGCATGCCCGCTCCAGGTCCCCTCCCAAAGGCAGGATGAAGAAGGGGGGGTGGAAGGGCATGGACCAGCCACTGTCCCTCAAGGGGCCAGAGGGCAGCAGGCTGTCTCCAAGTGATTACAGGAGTGAGCTCCAGACCCATTGAGGGGAGGCTGATACACTCTGGGTCAGTGGCCTTGGTAGCCCTGGGGGGTCCTGAGGCCCAATTTGGGGCTCAGTGGCACAGTCAGTGGCAGGCCCTGCAGGAGGGCCTGGGTGGGCTGTGGGGGTGGCGAGCATTTTGGCCCCGGGGACCTGTTTTTGATCCCTCGCTGGTTGAGGGGTGGCCTGGCAGCTGCCATGCTGGGGCTGTGGGTCACCTGACTGTGGGAGCCACAAAGCCAGATGCCAACAGAGACCTTCCTTGGCCACTTATGGTGCTCTTAGATTTCTGACCCTGAGTGTGAGGTCGAGGGCCTTCCTCAAGAGCAGGCCCAGGACTGGCGAGGGCCCAGTGGGCACCTTGGGCCCCTGATCCCCGGGTCTGGCCAGTGTGTCCCGCCGAAGTCTGTGTCTAGCCACCATCTTTGAGTATCTGCTAAGATCAGGAAAGCAAGTGCCCTGGGGCCACCAGCACTGAGTGGTAGGGTGATCAGCCCAAGATTGGCCGTGTAGGGTGGTCTGTCTGGAAACTGTTGTTCCAAGTCTGGGTGGTGTCTACAGACAGCTGCTGGGGGCCTGTGCCCCATGGGCCTCCAGGCCTCACGCCCTGGGCTCAAACCTGAGGTGGAGGATGTGTCCGCTGGTCTGCTGGGCCACCCGGCTGGCCATCTGTCCCACCCGCCTGTCCTACCCTGCCCATTGGTGGTGCTGCTCCCCTCCCAAGGCCTGGCCAGGCCCGTGGTGCTACTGCCTGAGCAGCCTGGTGTCCTTTCAGGTCCTCAGACATGGTGTTGAAGGGTCCAGGCTGGACCTCCATCGTGGAGGTCCACGCTGACACACCGTTCCCTGGCAGGCGCCCAAGGGCCTCCCGTGAGCAGCCGGGGCTGTGGGGCTCGGGGCTCTGCCCTGGACCCGAGACGGCGCGTGGCGGCCAGGACCTGTCCAGGCCAACGGTGCCAAGTGTGTGGAGCCCTGAGTCAGCGCGGCCTGAGCCCTCAGAGCTGCCAGGAGACCAGCGCCACCCGGTGCTGGTGCCAGGAGGCCTGCGGCAGGGCCCGCCTTGCCACGCCGCAGCCCACGTCTCGCACCGGGATTCGGCACAAACGGACAGCCCAGAAGGTCTGCGTCGGCCCATCTGCCTTGTGTGTCTGAGCTCAGAGCTGCTTTCTGATCGCCTTTGTCAAAGGCCCTGTTTGTTCTGTGAGTCTTCGGAGCAAATGCTTTTTTCATGGCGTTATTTTTGTCTTTTTTTTGGTTGTGGGACCTGACCTCTCTGCCTGGCGCTGTCCTTCAGCTCTTCAGCTCAGGGCGAGCGCTCTACCACTTGAGCCATATGGCCACTTCCAGCCTTCTCTGAGGAACTGAACCCAGGGCCTCATGCATGCGCAAGCACTCCACCACTGGGCCACCTTCCTAGCCCCTTTTTGTCTTTTTTAAAAACTTGCACTGATAGAGTCTTGAGACAATGTTGGTATAGGATGATTTAAAATGTGTTTCTGTTGACTTCTAATTTCTTCTTCTTTTTTTTTTTGGGGGGGGTCCGGTCGTGGGGCCTGAACTCTGGGTCTGGGCACTGTCCCTCAGCTCTTCAGCTCAAGGCTAGCGCTCTACCACTTGAGCCACAGCGCCACTTCCGGCTTTTTTCTTTTTGCTTATGTGGTGCTGAGGAATCGAACCCAGGGCCTCAGGCGTGCAAGGCAAGCGCTCTACCACTGAGCCACCTTCCCAGCCCATCTTCTAATTTCTTGTTTTACACTGTGTATTGTACACATTTTATCAAGGTCATCCCTGTTTAACGTCATTTGTTTCCTGTGTGTTGTGGACTTTACTTAGGAACATTAAAAAGAAATCAAATGTAGTGTTAAAAATCTGGTGCTAATTTAGCCAGGCACTGGTAGCTCACTCCTGTAGTCCTAGCTACTCAGGAGGTTGAGGTCTCAGGATTGTGATTCCAAGCCAGGTCAGACAGGAAAGTCTGTAAGACTCTATCTCCAGTTAACCACCAAAAAGCTGGAAGTGGAGCCATGGCTCAAGTGGTAGAGCATTAGCCTTGAGCAAAAGCACCCAGGGACAGCGCCTAGGCCCTGAGTTCGAGCCCTAACCCCTCTGGCTGCAGCTGGTGGTTACTGGGACAGTCCTGTGGGGGAGATGTGTGTGAGCTGGGTCACCTCACCAGTGTAGCGCTGTGTGATGAAGGCAATTGCTTGTTTCCTACCTGTATACTTAGAAATGGAAATTTGGTGCCCAGATTTTTCTTCTGGATGCTGTTAATCAGAACACACTGAATCTTGTTGGTTGTATGAGTTCATTTCCATGGACCCTGCTTGGGGGCTTCCTCTCACAGTGTCTCAGGTCTTGGGGTTATGGCTGACGTAGGAAGAAGACTCGTTCTGGCTCCTAGCTGCTCCCACCCAGGGACACTGCAAGAGACACTCGGGAACTTTGAATTCTGTCTGAAATACCAGTCCTGCGGGGGTGAGAGCTGGCTCAGTTAGAACTGAAAGTTTAAAATAGCATGGGCCTTTTGTATTTTCATAACTTTTTTCCTGAATACTCTTCATTTCTTCTTCTCATCCTGTGTGGGGGGTGTGGGGGAGAGAGAATGGGAGAGCAGTGCTGTAGCTCTTTGCCGTTAGTCCCCATATCTACAGGTCTGGGGTTAAGGGCTTTAGTTTACTGAAATCAAAGCCAGGTAAAACCAGTGTTTGCCTCTGCCCCCCTGCCTTGCCTTTGTTCTCAAGCAGAGATTTAGTCTTCTGGAGACATCGTTGCTTTTCCAGTGCCCCAAATTCAATACCTGGCCTGGTTGCTGGGCAGATGGCGCCCATCGGTGAGCCGCAGCTGGGCTGTGTAGCATGCAGAGGGTGGAGCTGCCTGCTGCCGTTAGACTGAGTTTCAGTCCAGCTCTGAGGGCGGCGCTGGGCTGCCGAGAGCGTCAGCTGCAGGGCTCTCAGCACTGGCCCCTCCTCCCCGCCCCCCATGCGCACAGGGAGTCAGAGGAGGTGTGGCTCTGGCGATCTGAGTGATGGCCTCACCTTGGGCATCAGGTGCGTGGGCCCAGAGTCGGGCGCGGGGTGCCACTTCTGTCAGCTGGTAACCTGGCGCTGCCCCTGGCTGCCCTCTGCCAGGGCACAGGAGGGTGCGCGTGGGGAGGGCAGGCTTGGTCTGAAAGCAGAGAGCTGGGCTCTGTGTTCACCAGTGAGGTGACAGCCTTGGGCCTCAGAGAGGGAGCGCAGGGCCTGGCCTCACTCTGGACAGGAGAGGCGGAAACCTGCCTGCGGCCCCGGGGTTGACCCTCAGAGTGGCCGCTGGTGACCGGGGCTCAGGGCGCCCCCTTTCACCTCTGTCCGCAGCTGTGCTGGGGCCTCGCCACCAGGCGAAGTGCGGGCTGCACCAGGACTCGGCGCGGCAGCCTCTGCCGGGTGAGCGGCAGAGGACAGGCGTCCCCTCGGCTCCTGGGAAGGCTTAGGAAGGCGTGGCGCCCACCCCGGCCCGAGGGCAGCTCCGTGCTCCCCAGCACCTGGCCTCGGGGCTCGCCCCAAGCCGCTCTGCTCAGGCGCCCCGGCATCCTGGGCTGGCCGGAAGGTTCAGGCCGGATGATGACCACGGCCTCATCACCTCTGGGACAAGGCCCAAGAAGGGAGTGGAGGGGAGAGCTGCAGAGCGCATGGAGCTCAGGGCCTGCTTGTCTGGGAGGAGAGTGGAGAGGGAAACACAGCCCCAAACACAGCCAGGTGCTAAGCTCCGTGAGTCAGCAGCTGCCCCTGTGCTGCGGGCGCTCCGGTAAGGAGGCTGCAGCTCCGCACTAATCTTTGAATCTCAGACACAGGAGACCAGGTCTCCACAGCGCAGGACAGAGGACCCCCCCAACGAGTGTATGACCTGGCCAGTGCGCGCGGGGGGGGGGGGGGGGGGGGACAGGCGCAGGGGTGGCAGGGAAAGAGCCTGGATTTTGCTGAAAGAGCAGTGGCGGCCGAACAGTGCTGAGCGCGTTTGGTGGAGGGCGCCCCTGAGCTACCCGCCTCCCCACTTCCCCACAGCCCCAGCCAGAGCTCCATAGGCCATGGTGACCTTACTAACGCTTCTTTACACAAATTACTTTTAAATAGCTGTGCACAAGTGTTTCAATTCAACATGCCAGTTTATGTGTGCAATGCCTTGACCCGAGGGAGGCTGCTGGATGAACCAGTGCTGTGCAGGTAGAAGGGTCCAGGCCGCCCTGGCAGCAGCGCTGCTCTGAGCCGGACCCGGCAGAGGGCCACGGGCTCTGTGTCTCCTCCAGCTGTCAGCACCCACGTTACACGTTACACTCCTGGCACCTTCCTCCCTGCAGAGGTCAGACCCGCAGTTGCTGGCCCAGTTCTACTACGCCGACGAGGAGCTGAACCAGGTGGCCGCGGAGCTGGACAGCCTGGACGGGCGCAAGGACCCCCAGCGGTGCACTCTGCTCGTCAGCCAGTTTCGCTCCTGCCAGGTGAGCCGCGGGTCCGGGGGTCGCCCTGGAAGAAAGGCTGGTCCTGCCTGGGTGGTGTCCAGACCTAGGATGGCCTTTGTCACCCCCACTCTGTTCCATAGGGACAGCCTCAGGGTCCCTCGGGAATGCTGGAGAAGCCCAGCCCAGTCCTGGGCAGAGCACAGTAGGGTAGAGGGCAGTCAGCACACGGGACCCCAGCGTGGAACAGAAGCTGGTGGGAGGGGGTTGGGAGCCTTGGGCTCCTGAGCCCGGGAGCGGCTGGCCGCCCGGGACCCATTCACCTGCTCCAGGCGCCCTGCAGGGGTGCGGGGAGCAGTGGGCAGTGTGGCCCTGCACCGCTGCTGACTTCAAGGGCTGCAGCTTCTGCTGCATAATTTACAGACAGCCTGGAAGCAGCTACTAAAAATACTCAGGACTGCAACCACGTGCACCCTGGCATAGCGGCCATGGGCGGCCCCTGCCGGAGGGCAACCTGGGGCCCAGCTGGTAGCACCTAGGTTGGCTCAGGTCTGTGGTGGACCCATGCCAGTCCATCGGGCCACTTCCTACATGCTCTCTGTCCACGAGGCCTGACCCACGAGCCCTCCCCCCGGCAGGACACCCTGTCTGTGTGGCCTGACACACAAGCCCTCCCCCACAGCAGGACTGTCCACGTGGCCTGACCCACGAGGCTCCCCCACAGCAGGACTGTCCACGTGGCCTGACCCACGAGGCCTCCACCCACAGCAGGACACTGTCCACGAGGCCTGACCCACGAGGCTCCCCCACAGCAGGACTGTCCACGTGGCCTGACCCACGAGGCTCCCCCACAGCAGGACACTGTCCACGTGGCCTGACCCACAAGCCCTCCCCCCACAGCAGGACACTGTCCACGAGGCCTGACCCACGAGGCCCCCCACAGCAGGACACCTTTGGGGCCCCCTCATGATCTGTGCCCTTTTTCTTTTGGGTTCTGTGGCTTTGCGTTGTTTGGTGACGGCCTCCACTCATGAAGCCATTTGTCCCTTTGGAGCTGCTGCCTCCAGCCTCACGTTACAAACATGCTGGCCAGGGCCCGGGGCCAGGGGCAGCCTGCCGGAGGCACTCCATGGAGGAAATGCTCAGAGAGGCCGGAACCACCCCCTCTGCAGCCCTCGTGGGACAGAGGGGAAGATTTTGGTCCCTGTGAGGCATGAGTGTTGTCCCTTCCCACCCTCTCGCTGTGGACGTGCTTCTGCTGATGACGTTGTCTGAAGGCCACGGGGAGGGAGGGCGGGGCTGGGGGCAGGGGTGGAATGCTCAGACCAGACGCATTCCTTCCCTGTCTGGTGAAGGCCCTGCCCTTTCTGAAGAGGTGCTGTACTACTGACCCACGTGTTCAGCCCTAGGGTTCAAAAGATGAGTCTTAAGGTTTTTTTTGTTTGTGTTTTTTTGGTTTTGTTTTTTTTTTTTTGTCAGTCGTGGGTCTTGACTCTGGGCCTGGGCACTGTCCCTGAGCTCTTTGGCTCAAGGCAGGCGCTCTACCACTTGAGCCATAGAGCCACTTCCAAGTCTTACTTTTTGATTATGATTATTGTAGGTGTGGAGGACCACTGCCCAAAGCCAATCTCAACAAAAAGCATAAGGATCTACCTGAAAAATACCTAAAGCCAAAACGTGGGGGGCATGGCTCGAATGGAAGAGTGCCCTGCCTAGCAAGCATGGGGCCCTGAGTTCAAACTCCAGCCCCAAAAGAAATGCGTGATTTAGACTGTGTCACTGGCTCTCAGTCCTCACTGAGACAGAGACCAGGAGATTCTGCTTCACTTGGTCCCGAAGGAGCCTCACGAGGCACACATTGGTTCATTTTCAGACATTAAGGAAAGGACCCAGCATTTCTGGGCTCCATTCTACTTTTCATGACATATTCTTATGAATTGTCAAGTTATATTCCCTAAAATTTTGTTGAAGATGCTTGTGTCCGTTATGAGCAGCTACTGGCTGCTCATCCGTTTTGCTGATAAGGTCGGACCTCACAGACACTAGTGCTTGCGCTTGTGTGTTTGTACAGCAGTGTGCTCTTTCTTCTGCATATGGTAGAATCAGCTTTGAACCCTGCCTGGAACTTCCTTGGTTAGAAGATTTTTAACTAAAATTCAGTTTACTGAATAGACAGTATCCTATTTCTTTTGGAAGAATTTTGTTAGTATACTATCAAGACCTATCTTCTCTTGGGTACCTGTGAGTCATGCCTGTAAAACCCAGCTACTTTGAGGCTGAGATCAGGATGGTCCTGGTTCCAGGCCGGTCCCAGGCAGAGAAGTCAGCAAGACCCTCTGCATGGGGGAAGCTGTGCCTGGTGGTCCACACCTGTCATCCCAGCTACAAACAGGCAGATGTCCGGGTGTGTGCTCCTGGGGCGGAGGCACGAGAACTAAAAAGCGGGGGGGGGGGGGGAGGGACTGGCTCAGCAGTGAAGCACCTGCTGGGTTCAAATGCCAGTCGTGAAAAAAAAAAGATATAAAGTGTATTGGAGCAAATAATTCACGTTTCCTCACTTTCCTTTGCGGCTCGGATCTTGTTGTGTAAGGTCTTTGGCAGATCAGCGCTCAGTCAAGAGCTGACCTCTCTGACCTCTGACCCCTTTCCTTTCCTTGATGCAAAGCAGGGGTTTCCCATCCTCAGCCAGCACCAGCAAAGGCCTCTTCCTGCTCCCCGGCCTGGGGGCCGAGCCCTCCTTTCCCCCGGTGCCTTCTCCCCATGCTCTGACGTGAAGCCAGCAGGGCCCTGGCAGGACCTGCCTGGCTTTCCCTGACTCAGACCCACGGACTTCCTTTCCTCTGTCCAGGGTCTTGAGGCCCAGCTCCAGGAGAGGTGATGGTGGCCCCTGCCACTCCATCTCGGGCAGAATTAGAAATGCCAGCTAGGGTTTGTGCAGGCACACTGACAGCAACACCTGGCACTGTTGACCTTATTGCTTTATCCTTTATTGGACCATAGAACCAGGCCTTCCTAGCCAGAAAGGCTTTTAGGAAGAAATGACAGTAGCTCCACTCAATGTTGACTAGAGGCTATTTCTTTTCTCTTTTCCTTTAAGTAGTTGTACAACAGGGATTATCATTCAACGTGCCAGCTTGTAAGTTCAATGCATCATCGTTGGCTCGATACCGTTCTCTTTAATATCACTAAGGTGTAGTGTTTTCCTTACTCTGCCCGAGAGCTGTGCCTCGGAGTTCAGTGCAGAGGGTTCTCCAGCCCCATGGTCCCCACTGCTGGTGATTTTCCATATCTGGTTCCTAAAATATTTGAAACGTAAGCCTCCGAAGGCAGAAGGGAATTACGCCAAGATCCCAAATTACAGAGGGTGAGAGTCAATTAGTTTGAGCTTTCTGTAAAGCAACTTGGCAGAATCTAAGCAGAGCCTGCAGTGCACATCACACTCTTGACTTTGGAATTCCATTTCTAGAGATGCATGTGCTAAAGTGATTACCCCCACATTTGCAAGTCACCAATGTCAATGACTGCTGCACTAGTTAAGGTGGTGGAGACCCGGAAAGGAAGGGGCGAGAGCACACCACCACTTACACCGCTATCCATCAAAAGCCGGACAGTGGCCTGTCCCCGCAGGGGTGACGTCAGCAGAATGCAAGGCCAAGTACACCGGGAGATGGCAGTGCCGACGGAGCCGAGGAAGCGGCTCAACTGCAGCACGTCACTGCGCAAGCCCTCCGCGCCACTCTGCTTCCCCATCGCGGGACTTCCTGTGAGGAGTGGGCAAAGAAGGAAAGATTTAGACAGGGTTCTGTGTGCTTGAAGACAAGACGGTGCTAAAGGAAGAGCAAGATGTAATTCAAGACACAATAAGCCTGGCTTCCTTGAAGATACAAGGCATGCATTCAGTTCATGTACTTTGTATTTTGAGCATGAGGAAGTAAAATAACTTTTATTTTTAAAACATAGTTCCTTAAGGTTAGCTGTAATCCAGGAGAGAGCCAAGAGGCTGTGTGTGTGCGCGTGTATGTGTGCACGTGTGTGTGCATGCACGTGTGTGCGTGAGCGTGTGTGTGCGTGCGCATACCCGCACGCGCGCATGTGTATACTAGGGCTTGAACTCAGAGTTCTTGCTCTCGCTCCTGAGTAAGAGAGCTCATGATTGGTGCTCTACCACCTAAGCCATGTCTCCAGCTCAGCATTTGCTGCTTAATTGGAGATGGAGTCTCATGGACTTTTCTGCCCATGATTCTCCACCGCCTGAGTAGCTAGGATTACAGGTGTGAGCCCTTGGTACCTGGCTGGGAAAGGCCTTTTATTCCCACAGGGTGCTGACTGTGCGGTAGAGAGGGAGCCGTGTCCCTCAGTGTGCGGCAGGAGAGACCTGCTTCACGGGCCCCTCAACTGTGCTCCTGACTGGCAGTGCGTGACCTCTCAGGGCCCAGACCTGTGCCACAGAAATGTGGCAGAGAGAAGCAAACTCAGACACGAGCCTGCAGACCTAGCAGCTCCATTTGCTGGCTGGATCCTCAGAAGACTGGACAGGTGTGCAGAGAGGTGCGCAGGATGGACACAGCGCCACTGCAGGGAACAGGCAGGGGAAGGGCAAGCACCACTCCTGTCGCCAGGCATGCTGGGAAAGCCTCACGGTGCCGCGGGAAGTTTCCCAGTGTCATCTCCAAGCAGTTCACCAGGACCGCTCTAGAGGCCACGTGGGCATGGCCTGACCTGCGGAAGGGTCTCAGGGATGAATGTCAACATGCCTGTCCACTCTGGGGATATTCCTGGGAAGTGTATAACCAGCAAAGGCATGCTACTGGACTACTTTTGTATCTTAAGAAGCGGAGATAGCCAGGTGCCGGTGGCTCACGCCTGCTATCCTAGCTACTCAGGAGGCTGAGATCTGAGGATCATGGTTCAAAGCCAGCCTAGGCAGGAAAGTCCGTGAGACTCTTATCTCCAATAAACCACCAGAAAACCAGAAGTGGTGCTGTGGCTCAAGTGGTAGAGCACTTGCCTTGAGCTGAAGAGCTGAGGGACAGCGCCCAGGCCCAGAGTTCAAGCCCCACGACTGACAAAAAATAAAAAAAAGAACCAGTGACGTGCGTGGTGCCTGTGCCATATGTGGCAGGGGCCAGCCGGATGTGGTGTTGGCATGCTCGCTCCTTTTCTGTTTCAGGACAACGTGTTAAACATCATCAGCCAGATCATGGATGAGTGCATTCCCCAGGACCGTGCCCCTCGGGATTTCTGTGTCAAGTTCCCCGAGGAGATCCGGCATGACAACCTGGCTGGCCAGCTGTGGTTTGGTGCTGAGGTAGAAAGTGGCTGTTTGGGTTTCTGGGTGTTAGGTTGGGTTGGCCTCATCCAGGCAGTGCCCCATTGCACACTGGGCACCGCGGGGCCCAGGGCCTGCTGTCTGCTCCAAGGGAGACAGCTGTAACGCTGTGTTGCAGAGGTGGTTTTTAATGAGATTCCCAGGGCTCCACACACCCAGGACCACCGCCCCCCCCAAAAGGACTTGTAGTAACACTACCGCTATCAGCCAGGCTATCCTTACTAAGGGCCTTGATTTCACACTGTGATATCAGCCAGGCTATCCTTACTAAGGGCCTTGATTTTTGCCATGTCATAGTAGTCCGTCAGATCTTTATGTTTATTTCCCACTGGGGACACTGAGGCATCCAGAGGAAAGCGCCCGCCCTGGGAGGTGCAGGACCAGTGTCCCCAGCCCCGGCCTCCCACAGCCCCGCTCGGGGGTGGGGCTGCAGCCTGCTGCCTGTCACCCCGTGCTGTCCTGTTGTCTCTGTAGCCCCTTAGCCCTCGTGCCCCACGCAGCAGACCCCTCACCCCTGAACCACTGGCTGGGAAAGCCTCCGGAGTCCTGGCCGGTTGTGGTGAGCCAGCACCCTGTGCCCACGTCCAACCTCGGCGTGCTCCTCGGTGAACAGGCCCTGCCGCTGGCCTGCTGGGCGTCTGGGCCCCGGGCTGCTGGCCTCCCAGGTGTGGTCCCGGGGCTCCCAGCTCCGCGCTCGGCGCTGGGCATGGCCGGAAGCTGAAGCTGGGACCTCTTGCTCTGCTACTCAGGAAACTGCCCTCAATGGGCACTGCAGATGGGCTCGGCCCTAAAGGGTGAAGGCCGAGCAGGTGTGTAGGCACCCCCACCCCAAGAGGACGCCCTCCTCCCACCGTAGAGGCTGGCTTCACCCCCACCCCTGACCCGAGAGCGGTCAGTAAAAGCCCAGGACACAGAGTGAGGCTGGAGGCCTGGCAGAAGTGGAGGCTTTGTGGTCAGGGGGCTCTTCACCGGCCCAGAGCCTGGCATGCTTAGGGGAGTGGGTCTGGGTTCTAGGCTGGTTGGGTTTCTCCAGCCTTGAGGTGTCTGTGATCTCCCTGAAGGTCACCGTGCTTGGGGTCGGTTCAGCCCTGGTGTGTTGTGCTGAGGACGCAGCCCCGAGTGGGGCTTCTGGGAACTCCAGGCCCATGGCCATCCTGTGTGCTGGTCTGGAGGGGACAGGAGCCCCACACTGGGGGGCTGTGCGAAGCCCTCTCGTGAGCCCCGTGCCCTGCCTGCCTCCTGGGTCCCTGCCGAGGCCGTGCCCGTCTCTGTGGGGACACCTGTTGTGGTTGTGGCTGCCCTGAAGTGATGGAGGCCTCAGGAGGGGCACCGTCAGTAGCAGGTGCCCAGTCCTGGCCCAGAGAGAACATGGGTGCTCAGGCCCTGGGGCCTGTGGTCAAGTCCCTGCAGACGGGGTGGCCCCTGGGAGCCCTGGGCTACTCCCACGCCTGTTCCCCGACTTCTGCCCACAGTGCCTGGCCGCTGGCTCCAGCATCATGAACCGAGAGCTGGAGAGCATGGCCATGCGGCCCTTGGCCAAGGCGCTGACCCGTAGCCTGGAGGATGTGCGGGGTGCCCTCCGCGACCAGGCGCTGCGCGACCTCAACACCTACACCGAGAAGATGCGGGAGGCCCTGCGGCAGTTCGACATCCTCTTCGCAGAGTTTGAACTCAGGTGACCCTGGGGCCCAGGCCTACGCCCCAGGTGTGGGAGTCACCGCCTTTGCCCTCCAGGTCAGGGAGTGACAGCTCTTTGGGGCTCATCCTGTAGTTTCCCTGCTAGAAAATGGAGAAGTCAAGGTCTATGGTGCCACCTGTTTGTGGGGTTAACCCTGGGGCACCGTGGGGGTGAGCGGGGATGTGACCTGGGGTCTTGCAGGGTCCTGGCTGTGACGGGCTTCTGGGGGAGAAGACTTGTTGGGGAACCAAGAGGCACGGCAGACACACTGTGAGATGAGCAGACGTGACTGTGGGGACCCGGCAGGTACCCTGTGGTAGACGTACAACTGTGACCTGTGGGGACACGGCAGGCAGGCACACTGGGGACACGCAGCTGTCACCTGTGTCCCACGGCAGGTACCCTGTGGTAGACGTACAACTGTGACCTGTGGGGACACGGCAGGCAGGCACACTGTGGGGACACGGCAGGCAGGCACACTGGGGACACGCAGCCGTCACCTGTGGGGACACGGCAGGCAGGCACACTGTGGTAGACATGCAGCTGTGAAGAGGTGGGATGGCCAGCAGTCACAGTGGTGAAGATTGCACTGTGATGTGTGGGCCCCCCGCCTTTGCCCCGTTCTGGCCAGGGTAAAGGTGGGGATAGTCATGAGGCAACCATGGTTTCGGGTGGTCAGGGCTGACACGGTGCAGGCTGTGGGGCCTTCCAGGTCTGCCCTGGCAGGAGCTCTGATTTAAAATACCAGTAAAGCTGGGAGTTGTACATTTATGCAGTTATGACCTGCAGCACTGTTGAGAATTAGGGGTTTAATGTAATACCTTGTCGGGGAGGCCTGGGGAGAGCCCAAGGCCTGACAGCCCTTGCTGTTCGCAGCTACGTCTCGGCCATGGTGCCGGTGAAGTCTCCCAGGGAATACTACGTGCAGCAGGAGGTCATCGTGCTGTTCTGCGAGACTGTGGAGAGGTGAGGACGCTGTTCCCTGCCCTGTTCCAGGCCACAAGCAGCCCGGTCATCCCTGTCAAAGCTCCTGGAGTTTGGAAAGCCCTGGTCCACTGCCTTCCCCACCCCGCCTCCTGCTGGTCCAGCCCCATGCCCCCCTGTGCTTCAGGCTGAAGGGGCAGGGCACTGCTGGAGGCCTGCGGGGGAGCACAGCACAGAGCGCTCAGCTTTGATGCCTCTGCCCAGACCTCCGACTCCCTCCTCCACCTCACCCTGGGAGGGGCCCCTGTGGGCTCCAGGCCTGCTAAGCACCACCGCAGGGTGGGCCTTCGGTACCCCTCAGGCCTGGCGCAGATTCTTACATTTGGATTTGGGGGCCAAGATTTCTCCTGGAGTATTGCCCCAATTTGTCTAGTGCTGTTGGCACTAAGTGATTTGCAACTGACTAAAGCACACCGTAGTTTGTAGGTTTAAAAGGGACTGTCTGTTCTTTTGAGAGATGTTTCAGATTGCCAGAACACAGGGTGACAGAAAAACCTGCTGCGTTGAGGTCCTGGCGGCGGCAGCACCTGCCAGGGGTGTCGGCCGGCTGGCAGGGCGGCTGGGAAGCTCCCTTGCTTGGGGATCATCTTTGCCCCATGTTTATTCTTGGCACCAGGGATGTGTCAGTTTCCTGGGGCAGCAGAGCAAGGGCTGCATGGCCTCTTCTTTTGCTCTCTTGGGTGTCACAACAGACGCCCAGTGGCACAAATAGGTCCTGTTTTCTGTCCTTTCCTGGGGCCAAAGGAAAGCTGGAAAGTAGCCTGGGCCTCCTTGCAGCGGGGAGCCCGCTGCGCGGCACGCGGGCTGCTGCTGGGTGCAGGTCACCCTCCAGGCCCGTCCTGTGGGGTGAGGAGGCCCAGCCTGAGCAGGCCGCGCTCCCCGACGTGCTGGGGGCCCGGTGCAGGCGCAGGTGCAGTGGGCCGCGCTCCCCGACGTGCTGGGGGTCTGGCACAGGCGCAGTGGGCCACGCTCCCCGACGTTCTAGAGGCCTGGCGCAGGCGCAGTGGGCCACGCTCCCCGACGTGCTGGGGGCCTGGCGCAGGCGCAGGCGCAGTGGGCCGCGCTCCCCGACGTTCCAGGGGGCCTGGCGCAGGCGCAGGCAAGTGAGTGCTCACACTCTGTCTTCCTCGGCCAGGGCCCTGGACTTCGGGTACCTGACCCAGGACATGATTGATGACTACGAGCCGGCTCTCATGTTCACCATCCCCAGGCTGGCCATCGTGTGGTGAGTGCCCTCCTCCCCGACAGTCACGAGCAGAATCCTGGTGGCCCATCCCTGCGGAGGCCGCCCGGGCCTCTGTTAGCCACGGCCCAGCAGTGGCTGCTCAGCCACTGGCCCCGGTGCGCACTTCAGGCTGGCCCCCGTGCGCTTTCCGGGCTGGCCCCGTGCGCTCTTCGGGCTGGCCCCGGTGCGCTTTCCGGGCTGGCCCCTTGCGCTTTCCGGGCTGGCCCCGGTGCAGTCTTCAGGCTGGCCCCGTGCGCGCTTTCCGGGCTGGCCCCGTGCGCTTTCCGGGCTGGCCCCGGTGCGCTCTTCGGGCTGGCCCCGTGCGCTCTTCGGGCTGGCCCCGGTGCGCTCTTCAGGCTGGCCCCGTGCGCTCTCCGCGCTGACCCCTGTGCGCTTTCCGGGCTGACCCCTGTGCGCTTTCCGGGCTGACCCCGGTGTGGTCTTCGGGCTGGCCCTGGTGCACTTTCCTGGCTGGCCCTGGTGCGCTTTCCGGGCTGGCCCCGGTGCACTTTCCTGGCTGGCCCTGGTGTACTTTCCGGGCTGGCCCCGGTGCACTTTCCGGGCTGGCCCCGGTGCGCTTTTCGGGCTGACCCCAGTGTGGTCTTCAGGCTGGCCCCGGTGCACTTTCCGGGCTGATCCTGGTGTGGTCTTCGGGCTGGCCCCGGTACACTCCCCAGGCTGGCCCCAGTGCACTTTCTGGGCTGGCCCCGGTGCGCTCTTCAGGCTGGCCCCTGTGCGCTTTCCGGGCTGGCCCTGGTGTGCTTTCCAGGCTGACCCCGGTGCGGTCTTCGGGCTGGCCCCGGTGCACTCTTTGAGCTGGCCTTCTGGCCTCCCCTGGCAGATGAGTAGCCAAACATCCTGAGCACCCCTGATTTGCTCAGTGGTGAAGGGGAGCCCCCACCCCGAGTAGTGCAAGGTGGCTGAGCCCTCGCCACCTGACGCAGGATGGCAGCCTGCTGGGCACAGGCTCACCCGGGGAGGCTGGCCACACCCCACGCAGGACCTGTCAGGTGACCAAGGGAGCAGAGAGACACGAGGACAAGGTATTTCCTGGCTTCTGCCAAAGGACAGGATTGGTTTGACTGCATAATTTCTGGACAGGCCAGGAAGCAGAACCTGCTAGGCTGGAGACTAGGTGGATGGCAGCCTGGAGGCAGGCTGGATACCTGGTCAGCCCCTGCCCCTCGGGGGACGCGGGTGGAGCTGGCATGCAGGGCCTCAGCCTCCAAGGTGTTAAGGCAGTGCGTGAATGAATTCAGGCCCTGCGTACACAGCAGTAGAACTCTTTGTGTCTCTGAGCATTTCTGAGCTTCTCAAGGTCAAACTCTGAGCCCTGTGTTTGGGGGTGTTCTTGGTTGTTCAACTACACCTTGACTTCAGAGACGCCTCACTGAGACCTGGAGAGCACAGAGGCATACAGTGCAGTGTCAGGGCACAATGAAGTATGAGCACAGCGGAAACATGGGGTGCTGCTGAGCATCGGGACAGGCCAGCGCCCCGGCCCTGCAGAGGACAGGCACGCCCCTCACCACAGGGAGGCCTGACCCCCCCGACCCCCCTCCCTGCAGAGGACAGGCACGACCCTCACCACAGGGAGGCCTGACCCCCCTGACCCCCCTCCCTGCAGAGGACAGTTACATCCCTCACCACAGGGAGGCCTGACCCCCCCCGACCCCCCTCCCTGCAGAGGACAGGCACGACCCTCACCACAGCGAGGCCTGACCCCCCCGACCCCCTCACCACAGCGAGGCCTGACCCCCCCGACCCCCCTGACCCCCCTCCCTGCAGAGGACAGTTACATCCCTCACCACAGGGAGGCCTGACCCCCCCGACCCCCCTCCCTGCAGAGGACAGTTACATCCCTCACCACAGGGAGGCCTGACCCCCCCGACCCCCCTCCCTGCAGAGGACAGTTACATCCCTCACCACAGGGAGGCCTGACCCCCCCGACCCCCCTCCCTGCAGAGGACAGGCACGACCCTCACCACAGCGAGGCCTGACCTCCCCCGACCCCCCTGACCCCCCTCCCTGCAGAGGACAGGCACGCCCCTCACCACAGCGAGGCCTGACCCCCCCGACCCCCCTCACCACAGGGAGGCCTGACCCCCCCCGACCCCCCTCCCTGCAGAGGACAGGCACGACCCTCACCACAGCGAGGCCTGACCCCCCCGACCCCCCTCCCTGCAGAGGACAGTTACATCCCTCACCACAGCGAGGTCTGACCCCCCCCGATCCCCCTCCCTGCAGAGGACAGGCACGCCCCTCACCACAGCGAGGCCTGACCCCCCCGACCCCCCTCACCACAGGGAGGCCTGACCCCCCCCGACCCCCCTCCCTGCAGAGGACAGGCACGACCCTCACCACAGCGAGGCCTGACCCCCCCCGACCCCCCTGACCCCCCTCCCTGCAGAGGACAGGCACGCCCCTCACCACAGCGAGGCCTGACCCCCCCGACCCCCCTCCCTGCAGAGGACAGGCACATCCCTCACCACAGCGAGGCCTGACCCCCCTCCCTGCAGAGGACAGGCACGCCCCTCACCACAGTGAGGCCTGACCCCCCTCCCCGGAGTCCTGCACTACCTGGCCAGGCTCAGGCTCCTCACTGACCAGCCCTGTAGGCTTTTCCAGAACCCTCCAATGGCCCAGATCCCTGGCTCTTCCCCTTACCACCCTTCGTCTCAGCAGTCAAGTCAGCAAATCCAAAGAGTTCGCCTCACACGGGAGGGCCAGTACTTTATTTACTATTTTTTACACTGAATTTTGTATCCCAGGCTTGCCTTGAACTCAGGACCCTCCTGCCTCAGCCTCCGAAGTGGTGTGATTGCAGGTGTGCACCACCCTCCCAGTGGGGTGGCACTTGAAGCCCCGTAACTACTTGAATTTTGGAATTTCCCATCATCTGAGGATGTTTGGGTTGGTCAGGGTGAAGTGTAGAGTGACATGTCCCAGGAGATGAGGAGCCTGAGCACAGGACCACTTCTTCATGCTGTGCACCCCGAGTCTGCCCTGCTGGCCCAGGGGTCCGCCCACCCACGGCAGAGCTGGGCGGTTGTGGGAGGGCTTCCCGGGGGACCCCCCCCCTCTGGGCTCAGGCTGGAGGGAGGGCTTGGAAAGTGGCTGGGGGGGGTCCCCAGGAGATGGAGGAAGGTGTATGCTCAGGCAGAGCATGCACCAAGGCCCACTGACAGGGCTCCTACCTCACAGCAAGGCTGTGTACCCAAGGAATCAGGCCCCAACTGGCTTTAGGCCAGTCCTGAGGCTGCCTTGTGATGGACTTCACTGGCTCCCACAGGACTGCAGCCTAGCGCCCTCTTCATTGGCTACAGAGCCATTCTGGACCAGACACACAGAGTCTACAGCCGCTCATGGAGGGGCTATCGCTGTCCATGCAGGGGCTACGGCTGCTCAGCTTGAGGCTTCCCTCCCGTAACTACACACATCACGAGTGACCACTGTACACCTGAACGCTGCTTGTTGCACAGAGACTGAGATGCCTGTGAGGGAGGAGACCGGGGCTGGAGAGACTGGGTCTTCCCAAAACTGGTTTTAAAGGCTTTATCTTAGAACAGTTCTTTTTAGTATTATTGTTTTTGTCATTATATAAAGTTGAGGACAGAGGGTTACAGTTTCGTAGTCAGGTAAAGGATACATTTCTTTGGGGTCAATGTTACTTGAATAGTTCTTTTTTTTTTTCCACAGTGGACTTATTTTAAGTTGACCGTGGCAAAGCTGGGGCAGAGAGACGAATAGTTCTTTTAAAAGAATAAAGAAACTAAAATCTTGACCCAGCGACTGACCAGGTCGCTGGGACTGGTCCATCGCCAGCCTCAGGGGGTCTGAGGGAGGAGGTAGCCCAAATAGCCACCTGGGGATAAATGATAACCCAGTGCGTGTGTGCACGGTGAGACGCGATGTCTCCATGAGAACAGAGTGCTGACGCCGCACAGCGACCGTGACCGTAAACACGATGGGGAGTGAGAGCAGAGCTGCGGGTCACACTCCGCAGGATCCAGTTTACATGGGATGTGCTGTGTGGGTGAACTGGAGACAGGAAGTGGTGGGCTGGAGACAGGAAGTGGTGGGCCAGAAGGTGGCATGAGTGGATGGGGGGGGGCAGACTAGAGGACTTATTTGCAGGTGCTCTTGGAGGGGGATGAGAGGCGGAGCTTACACAATACTATGTATTTAACCAGCGGCACCACGCTTTAAAGTGGTGAAGGGTGGGTTTTGCAGCCTCTTCCAGCCGGGTTCCTGTGTGCGTTGTGTCCTGGCATACATGCCACCAGGACCATGCCCCCGTCCCGCTCTCCAAGAGCACATGGCGTCAGTGGCCAGGCCAGTAGGACTCTGTGCAGGTGTTTGCTGAGCTCCTGGAACACAATGTCACCAGCCTTGCCCTTGTTCACAGGGACACAGAGAGCCGGTCTGCCCTGTGCCATGCCTGCCCCTCGGAGTGGTTTGGGCTGCTCCCAGAGCCTCCGTGCAGGGGGCAGGACGGGCACAGAGCAGGCGCTTGTGGTTTGAGTGCTCCAGTGTGTGAGCACAGCTGGGCACAGGGCCCTGGGGCACAGGGCCGATGCCCGAGATTCCAGATGAGCCTAGCACGGCCAGGCCCTGGGCAGCAGCCCCTTCTCACTGCTCTTAACTGGGCTGCTGTGGGGCTCTGCCCTGACCTCACCCTGGCGGGGCAGGTGTGGGAGCACTGGCCACTGCAGGGCACCGCGGGCGGGCACGTGCTCGGGTCAGCCGCTCCTCAGCCGACAGGACTGCGAGGATTGCTGAAGGCCGGGCGGCCTCTTAGCACCCAGCCCCCACCTCCAACCACACACACTCGGCTCCTTTTCTGCCTCTTTTCACTGTCCTGAGGCCACCTGGTTTACCATCAAAAGTTAAGGCCCTATCTTGCGAATTTGTCACCTAAATTATGTTTATTTGATCCTTGTGGATGAGGCTATGTGGTCCTCCGCTGTTCTCCAGTAAAACAAAACAAAACAGAATCCAGGGACAGATGGACTTCCCCGAGCCCCTCAGACCACCGAGACCCTGCCGTCTGCTTCCTAGAGACCCAGCGGGAAGCACCTAGGGCAGGGTCCTGGGGCGAAGCTCTGGGAGAGCCGGCTGCCGTGGCTGATGGAGGCAGACACAGAGCAGCCCTGCATGGTGGGGTGGCTGGGGCCAGCCTCTCTGTGGTGATGGCCAGAGCGATTCTCAGGGCCGTCAGCGGGTGCTGAGCCGGAGGGCATGTGGGGGAGAGGAAAGCCAGTCTCCCCTGCCTGGGGAATAGCTCTGGGGCTTTGTGGGTGTCTGGGCAGTGTGATGCTTTTCCCACTGCACAGTGACAGTACCGGAGGGGAGGCTTCGGCTCCCATCCCGGTTCTCCGATCAGGGCCAGGGTTTGGAATCCTCTCAGGCCTCACTGTCACGAGCTTCCACAGCTCTATTCTCATGTCAGTGAGGAAGATCTGAGGACCAGATCCCCATGCTAATTTCTCTGATTGCAGCACTGATATGTACAATTACACTCTTTTTTTTTTTTTTTTTGGGGTTGGTCATGGGGCTTGAACTCGGGGCTCAGGTGCAGTCCCTCAGCTCTTCAGCTCAAGGTGAGCATTCTACTACTGAAGCCACAGAGTCACTTCTGGTTTTCTGGTGGTTAATTGGAGATAAGTCTCATGGACTTTCCTGTCCAGGCTGGCTTTGAGCCGTGATCCTCAGATCTCAGCCTCCTGAGTAGCTAGGATGACAGGCGTGAGCCACCGGTGCTGGCTACAATTACATTCTTAGGACTATCTTGTGACTCCCTAATCCACTTCAAAAGGTGCTCAAGGCTGGGTGGTGGCTCCAGTTGCTTTCTCTGTACACATATTTGATTAAGTCCTAGAGGCGAAGGGTGAGGCTGCACCACATCCCAGTGGGTATCACTTGGAGGTGGGGTTCTGGGACTCACGCAGGGGCCACGGGTCTGACCACGCTGGCTCCCGTGTCTCAAATGCAGTGGCCTCGTGGTCTATGCAGACGGGCCCCTGAACCTGGACCGCAAGGTGGAGGACATGTCCGAGCTGTTCCGGCCTTTCCACACGCTGCTGCGGAAAATAAGGTGAGGGCTGAGCGGCGGTGAGGGGGGGAGCTGCGCTGGGAGGGTGGTGCCGGCGCTCGAGTTCACCCCCTCCACCATTCACAGTAGCAAGTTGTAAAAACAGCCCAGATGCCTTCCAGCAGATGAGCAGACCGAGAAAATGTGGTTTCTACACACCATGGGATTTTCCTCATCTATCAGAATAATATGTCATTTGCAGGGAAATGGGGAGACCTAGAACAAATCATGTTAAGTGAGGTAAGCCAGGCTTAGAGGGACTAAGGGCACCTGTTTACTCTCATATGTGGAAGTTACATATAAAATACATACATGATAGCGGATACAGGTAATATGCACAGACACACAAATTAGGGGAGGTCCAATGATGAACTACTCTGAACAACTAATGGACTGTTTGTTAAGTGAATACCAGGAAGCAGAAACAAGGAGGGCATGGGAAAGGAGGGAGGAAGGGTAGCAAATGTCATTCTATTCAACGTCTACTATGTAAAAATTTGTGTAACTTGAGGTAGGGATGGGATGGGGAAAGATGGAACGGCTGGTATTGGACAAGATACATTGTACTCGTAACCTGACTCCTGAACTTGAAATCCTTTATGCAACTACTTAACCACCAATAAACAAGAACAATGCAATGAGGGAGGGGAGGAGGAAGGAGAAATGGTCTTCAGACGGCCGTCATCTGGCACTGAGTCAGGGAGGACCCCATTGGGTGCTGAACAGTGCGGGCACCCGTGCCCTGGGTGCGTTCCTGCCACCGCCACTGCTGGGTGCACTCCTGCCACCGCCACTGCTGCCGGCAGGGGGCTGTGTCCACTCCTGGCCAGGGAGGCCGGCGTGGTCTTTGGGACCCTCACCATGTCTCTGTCTTGACCGTAGGGATTTACTCCAGGCGCTGACTGAAGAGGAGCTGCACAGGCTGGAGCGGAGCCTCTGCGTCTCGCAGGACGCGGAGCTCCCAATGCAGGCGGATGCCCAGCCACCCACCGCCCTGGCACCCACCTTTCCAACGCCCCTCCCCCCCGAAGAGCTGCTCTCAGCCAAGGCCAAAGACCCGGAGGCCGAGCTAGCCTGCTCCATGCAGTACGACGACCAGGAGCTGGAGGAGCTCAGCCGGATGGTCCACAGGGCGGGCGACGAGATGTCCTCTCTGCTCTCGCCGCCCAGCGCCTGCCAGTCCCCGGCCCGCAAGCTGGGGGCCGAGGGCAGCCCCCGCGGGGAGGGGTCTCCCGGCAGAGCGCCGCTGAAGGCAGGCAGCTTCGAGGAGGAGAGGGTGTTCTTCATGGACGATGTGGAGGTGGCAGAGGCCCCGGGTGACCCATTTGGGTGGGCAGACGGCCCCCCAGCTGGCGCCCAGGACAGCGGGCCCCGCAGCGGGGCGGGGGCCAGTGCTCCCATGGCAGGAAAGACGGAGGACTGGTGCAACAACAATAACGAGGAGGAGGGCGAGAAGCGGGCGGCCGGCCTGGCGGGCACCTCCTCCTGCAGCTGCCTGGACTCGCAGCTCTCCCTGGACGGCTGGGAGGCCAGCACCGAGGACGCCGAGACGGCCGAGCTGATCGCCCACCGCACCGGTGGCATGAAGCTCTCCGCCACCGTCATCTTCAACCCCAAGTCTCCCGCTGCACTGGGCCCCGCCACGGCCCCCCAGGAAGTCCCCGGCCACACCGCCTCCCCGCCGGAGCCCCGGGCCGAGGCCGAGGGGGGCCACGCGGCCTCCAGCTGCCTCCTCCACTCCTGCGTGTGCTGCCGGAGCTGCCCGGGCGGCCGGGAGGACGCGGTGGAGCCCCTGCGGGGCCTCCTGGACGCCCCTCACCCCTCCACCGGCTTAGCCAAGGCTGGCGACAAGTGTCCCCAGAGACTGGATGACACCCTGCCAGACCCCACGTCTCCCCGGCCCGCGGAAGATGCCTCTGACGGGCGGGAATGCGAAGGTCCTGCCCCCACCAAGTGCCTCACACATGCCTTAGGGCCCCAGGGGGCTGCAGTCCCCAGGCACCAAGGAGAGGGCCCGGCCATGAGCCAGCTGAAGGGGCCTGAGGCCCCCGAGGGGAGCCCCGGGCCTCCAGGGGGAGGAGACACAGCCCAGTCCCCGCCGCCTCACCCAGCAGGCTGCAGGTAAGCACGGTCTACCCAGGCCCGTGGCTGGGCCTGCCTTAGACCCAGGACCCATGGAGCGTGCTGCCCACTGACCCTTGCCAGCCACCTGCGTGCTGATGGGAGGGACACAGGCCCCTGGTGGTGGGTGTGGTTCCCGGGGGCCATGATGGGACTCTATGTCCCTCTAGAAGGTTCTCAGGAGTGCTCCCAGGAGCCCAGGCTTTGTCTGACCACCTCTCCAAAGGCGTCTGTAGATCTCCCTCCCACCAGGGCCCCCACACGCTCCCTGGAGACAGGACAGTGGGTGGTAGCAGGGTAGGGAGAAAGGCCCTCAGGACCCACACCCATGCCTGAGGCTGTCTCCTTCCCCAGTCCCCCCACCTGGGCCTGTTCTCCACAAGGCAGACCAGCAAGCCGCTCCGGTGGCAGCATCATGGCCTGTTTTGTCTTTAACCTTGGGTCTAGCCAGTGTCACACTCAGAGTCAAGGCGTCCTCCGGGTGAGAGGCCCCTTCCCTAGACCCTCACCTCACAGGCTCCGCCGAGACAGGCCGAGGAAGGGCTCAGCCTGGAGCCAGAGCAGAGCCCTGCGGGCTGGGCCGTGGGATGGTGTGAGGAGGGGGCTTCTGGGACTCCAGCAGGCAGTGTGTTGCCAGTGTCCTCCCACAGAGCAGGAGGAGCCCTCCATGGCTCTCGGGCCTCTGCTGCCCAGTCAGGCTGGGCCATGGCGCCTGGGGTCAGCTGTAGCCACTTGAGCAGCAACATGCCCCCAAAGCATACCCCCGGCCCCGGCCCCGGCCCCGGCCCCGGCCCCGGCCCCGGCCCCGGCCTCCTTCCCAGCCCCTGGTGACCTCTAGGCTGCGTTCCACCTCAGAGGGTTTGCCGCCGGTGGGCTTGGCGAACGAACCATAGGAGATACAGCCCTTTGCGTCCAGCTTCTTCTGCCCAGCACAGTGTGTTCAGGGTCATCCATATGGCTGTCCACCTCAGAAGCTTCCACTCTGTGGCTGAGTGACACCATGGTACAGACAGGCACCCTGTGTCTCTGGGCACCGGCTGAGGAGCGCCCTGCGGTCGTGGTGCCACTGTGCGGCTAGGTGCGGGTTTTCTGTGGACACGTGGATCAATGCTGACCATGTTTAAATGGTTAAGGAGCTGCCAAAGCACTTTCCAAGCCAGCCACCCTGTATGTGTGCTCAAGGATGGTTGTCTGCATTTTTTTTTCTGTCTTTAGGGCATAATCTCTAGAGTATACACCCAGTTGCTTTGTCGACTCCAAATTGTTCCTCTCTCTGAAGTTCTGCCAGCAATTTTACTCCTAGCAGGTTAACTTTGCATGAGATATATAGAGACTGCTGTTTATACTTAATGTAAGTTTATATAAAATATTTGCATGGTTTCCAGCCAAATCTACAAAAGAAGATACGCCCAGAGAAGCCTGTTGGAGGAGATTTTATTCTCTCCTGCTGCTAAAGGAAACAGGGTCCAGAGTTTTTATTGTTCAGTTTTCCATACTTTTGGTATTACTGCACTTGCTTAGTAGGTACTCTGTCTCTCTTGAGCCACGCCACTGGCCTCTTTTGTTTGTCATTTTTTTGTGTGTGTCAGTCATGGGGCTTGAACTCAGGGCCTGGACACTGTCCCTCAGCTCATCAGCTCAAGGCAAGCACTCTACCACTTGAGCCACAGTGGTTTATTGGAGATAAGCGTCTCACAGACTTTCCTGCCTGGGCTGGCTTTGAACAGTGATCCTCAGATCTCAGCCTCCTGAGTAGCTAGGATTACAGGCGTGAGGCATGTATTTGAAATTCAATTCCACTTGTGTGTGTGTGCACGCGCGCGTGCATGTGCGTGCATGTACATGCACGTGAGTGTGCGTCCTGTCATAGCTGCGATGACAGGCCTGAGCCATTCAACCAGACTTTATTGGTAGAGCTTTGATCTCACAGACTTTTTGCCCAGGTTAGCCTCAAACCCTGGTCCTCCTGATCTCAGTCCCTGAAGTAGGTAGAATTACAGGCATGAATCACCATGCCTGGCCGTTCTTCCATTTTTAGGAGTCTAAGCAAAGGAAAATGGACACAGCTGCACACACTCCCGCTAATGAGCAAGTCACTGCTGCTCCAGGTGCTCCTCCCCAACTTCCTGACCCTGGCCCCGGCTTCTGCAGGCAGCGCACTTTCCGGAGGTGTTGTCACTTTTGTTACAGCCAGGTAGAGCTGGTGTGGCTGGGCCACACACACTGCCAGCTGATGCTGCTCGTGGCTGTGTTCAGGGTCCTGTGATCACAGTTCTGTGCTGCTCATGGCTGTGTTCAGGCTCCTGTGATTGCAGTCCTGTGCTGGTCGTGGGCTGTGTTCAGGGTCCTGTGATTGCAGTCCTGTGCTGGTCGTGGGCTGTGTTCAGGGTCCTGTGATTGCAGTCCTGTGCTGCTCGTGGCTGTGTTCAGGGTCCTGTGATTGCAGTTCTGTGCTGCTCATGGCTGTGTTCAGGGTCCTGTGATCGCAGTCCTGTGCTGGTCGTGGGCTGTGTTCAGGGTCCTGTGATTGCAGTTCTGTGCTGGTCGTGGGCTGTGTTCAGGGTCCTGTGATTGCAGTTCTGTGCTGGTCATGGCTGTGTTCAGGGTCCTGTGATTGCAGTCCTGTGCTGGTCATGGCTGTGTTCAGGCTGCTGTGATTGCAGTTCTGTGCTGGTTGTGGCTGTGTTCAGGGTCCTGTGATTGCAGTCCTGTGCTGGTCATGGCTGTGTTCAGGGTCCTGTGATCGCAGTCCTGTGCTGGTCGTGGCTGTGTTCAGGGTCCTGTGATCGCAGTTCTGTGCTGGTCATGGCTGTGTTCAGGGTCCTGTGATCGCAGTTCTGTGCTGGTCGTGGGCTGTGTTCAGGCTCCTGTGATTGCAGTCCTGTGCTGCTCGTGGCTGTGTTCAGGGTCCTGTCATTGCAGTTCTGTGCTGGTCGTGGGCTGTGTTCAGGGTCCTGTGATTGCAGTTCTGTGCTGGTCATGGCTGTGTTCAGGGTCCTGTCATTGCAGTTCTGTGCTGGTCGTGGGCTGTGTTCAGGGTCCTGTGATTGCAGTTCTGTGCTGCTCGTGGCTGTGTTCAGGGTCCTGTGATTGCAGTCCTGTGCTGGTCATGGCTGTGTTCAGGGTCCTGTGATTGCAGTTCTGTGCTGGTTGTGGCTGTGTTCAGGGTCCTGTGATTGCAGTCCTGTGCTGGTCATGGCTGTGTTCAGGGTCCTGTGATTGCAGTCCTGTGCTGGTCATGGCTGTGTTCAGGCTCCTGTGATTGCAGTCCTGTGCTGGTCGTGGCTGTGTTCAGGGTCCTGTGATCGCAGTCCTGTGCTGGTCATGGCTGTGTTCAGGCTCCTGTGATTGCAGTCCTGTGCTGGTCGTGGCTGTGTTCAGGGTCCTGTGATTGCAGTCCTGTGCTGGTCGTGGGCTGTGTTCAGGCTGCTGTGATTGCAGTCCTGTGCTGGTCATGGTTGTGTTCAGGCTCCTGTGATTGCAGTCCTGTGCTGGTCGTGGGCTGTGTTCAGGGTCCTGTGATCGCAGTCCTGTGCTGGTCGTGGCTGTGTTCAGGGTCCTGTGATCGCAGTTCTGTGCTGGTCGTGGCTGTGTTCAGGGTCCTGTGATTGCAGTTCTGTGCTGGTCATGGCTGTGTTCAGGGTCCTGTGATTGTAGTCCTGTGCTGGTCGTGGGCTGTGTTCAGGGTCCTGTGATTGCAGTTCTGTGCTGCTCGTGGCTGTGTTCAGGGTCCTGTGATTGCAGTTCTGTGCTGGTCGTGGGCTGTGTTCAGGGTCCTGTGATTGCAGTCCTGTGCTGGTCATGGCTGTGTTCAGGGTCCTGTGATTGTAGTCCTGTGCTGGTCGTGGGCTGTGTTCAGGGTCCTGTGATTGCAGTTCTGTGCTGCTCGTGGCTGTGTTCAGGGTCCTGTGATCGCAGTCCTGTGCTGGTTGTGGCTGTGTTCAGGGTCCTGTGATTGCTGTTCTGTGCTGGTCGTGGGCTGTGTTCAGGGTCCTGTGATTGCAGTCCTGTGCTGGACGTGGCTGTGTTCAGGGTCCTGTGATCGCAGTTCTGTGCTGGTCATGGCTGTGTTCAGGGTCCTGTGATTGCAGTCCTGTGCTGGTCGTGGGCTGTGTTCAGGGTCCTGTGATTGCAGTCCTGTGCTGGTCGTGGCTGTGTTCAGGGTCCTGTGATTGCAGTCCTTTGCTGGTTGTGGGTCGTGTCCAGGGTGCTCAGGAGGTGTCCTGTCTTCCAGGAAGCCCTCCGGGGAATGTGTCATGAGGGCTGTGAGGAAGGGCCAGTGTCAGGTCCTGGTAGCTAGGGCCACCATGCCTTTGCTCCAGGACCTTGGACAGTACCCTGGGGCCTAGTACTGAGCTGGAGGGAGCCAGAACCAGAGCTGCAGAGAGAGTGCACCCCGTTCAGGGCAGCACCTGCATGGGGGCCTCCTCTCCTCCTTCCTTCCTGCGTGTCAATGTCCCAGAGCGCAGAGCCGGCGTCTGTGTGCCCAACAAGGAACCAGACAGGCATGGCCAAAGGTGTGTGTCAGGCAGATGGACAAGCAGCTGCACACAGCAGGAAGTCCACGAAACACAGAGAGAGGTCAGGAGGCTCCGCTGGTGGCAGTGATGTTCATGTGGTCCTGGAGATGGGATGTGGCTGTCACCCAGTCCTAGGGGAAGAGCCAAGAGTCTGGCCGGGGTGCTGGTTGCTGGCACGGCACGCACAGCAGGGGCCATCAGGTGGCTGTCCTGATCGGACCATGGCCCCTGCCCAATGCCACCTGTGGCCCTGCGGTGCGTGGCACGGGGCCTCAGGCGAACGGCGCAGATCCTGCTCTTGGGGGCTTTGTCCTGCGTGCCATACAGCCACTGAGTGCTTCAGAGGAGGGAGCTGTGGCAGGATTCTGTTCGGGTAGAATGGCCAGACTGCCCCTGCCACGGGACAGACGCAGGTCCAGTGGCAGCTGCGTTGGAGCCAGGAGCGAGGCCCAGAGCGGAGGGCAGCCGCTCTCGCCCCAG